TGGAGAGGAGTGAGCGCCCATACACTTACTTTCCAAGAAATTCACTCAGTAGCCATTCTCCTTTTTTGCCTGTTTGCATTTATGACTGTATTTTATGTATTTATTTATTTGTTTGTTTGTTTGTTTGTTTGTTTATTTATTTATTTATTTGGTTTATATCACGCCCATCTGGTCTGGTCGACCATTTTGCATCCAGAATTTTTTTATTGTTACTATTTTCCCTTTTTTTCCCCTTTTTGCTATTGGTTGATTTATTTTTAGAGATTATGGTTGGGTTTTTTTGTACGGTGCTTTATTGGAATTTTATTACTGCTTCATTATATGTTTATACTCTTGTCATTTTAATTTGTTCGCCACCCACAGTGGCGGCCCTGCGTTGGGTGGGCTAAAAATATAATTAAACAAATCAATAAAACAAATAAAGCTTTGCACTGTAGTATAATAAATCTATAAATAAATTGAAATTAAAATGCAACTAAATAAAATTTTATTAAGAATACAAAAATAAAACATTTATTCATTGATTACTATTACTATTAGGATTTATTTATTATTTGTTTGTTTTATTTACAGGCCGTCTTTCTCCCAAAAAGAGGATCCAAGGCAGCTCACAATATTAAAAAGAACAGAATTAAAAATCTTATAAGTTAAAGAGTAAAAAATGTAATTAAACTATATACTAATTAAAATACAGTTAAAAGCAAGGAATCCATTACCTGACACATTATTTTTCACCTTAACTTTCTGGCACCCACGATGTTGAAAAATAAGTGCAAAGTAGTAGTAGCAGCAGCAGTATAATAATAATAATAATAATAATAATAATAATAATAATAATAATAATAATAATAATAATAATAACCAGCACCGGCCAGCAAAACTTAACGAAAGGCGTAGCTAGTTTGGCCAGGGGCGGGGCTCTAGCTGCGGAGGCGTGGCTTGCCTTCCTGCATCCGTCACGCGAGGGGAACCAATGGGAGATGAGTGGGCGTGGCCACGGGGATGGCGGAAGCGAACGAAACGGCGCAGGGGTTGCAGAGCTGCCACTCGACGGAGGGCGCGTGCGTGGTGCGCATGCGTCGCTTTGTCCGTACGTCCGTACGTGCGGGGGAGGGGTCTGTAGCGTGGTGGGAAGATGCCTAGATGTAAGTGGAGGGACGCCGTGGCAACGGGAAGGAGGTATGTGTGTGTGTGTGAAATAGCAGAGGGGATTTTTTTGTGGGGGGGGGGAAGTAGCTCAGCGACCGGAGAGAATGGACCGCCGGCGGCCGGGGTAGGCAAGGGGGTTCTCAGGCCCGAGGCCTCGGTGGGGGTGGCGGCCCTCAGACTTGGGGTGCAGGTGGGGGCTTCCGATCTCCCCTCAGAACCCCTCATCTGGAGACGGTCTTGGGGCGCTGAAAACCTCCAGAGCTTGGAAAAGGTGCCTTTTTGGGGGGACTACAACTCCCAGCATCCCCTAGCAGGGCGGCTGGGGGATGCTGGGAATTATAGTCTCCCCCCAAAGGCACCGTTTCCAAGCTCTTCTTAACGAGGCCCGCTCGACCTCGCGATTTTCCTGAGGCTAAGAAGGTGGGCGCCCCCGTGTGTGCTGGACTACAGCTCCCATCATCCCCAGCCTGGCTGTACCCAGGACGTAGGGAAAGCTGGGAGGTTTCATTGAGCGAGGCTTACCTTTTGGTCACGAGTCCAAGGGGAGGGGGAGGTCTTCCCCACAACGACCCTCCAAGGTAGGTCATGCTGAGAGAGGAAGAGGAGAAGGAGAGGATGGGCCCAAGGTCACGGGGGGGGGGCTGCTTTTTCACTCACGTAGGAGGTGTGAATCTCCACACAATTGTAAATTTTTAAAAAATCAATCTAATGGATATCTAAAGCTTTTTTCTTTCCCCCCAAAATATAGGTGGTCCGGGATGGAGCAAAAAAGTAGTGAAGTGGAGGGGAAAGAAATAATTTAGCACTGTCTATTTATCGCCTTTTAAATTACTGTATATCCTTTTTTTTGAGGGCCTAAAGGGAGCTCAGCCGCCAAGCAGAGGCTGTGCCTGAACAAGGTCTGAGAGTCAAGAGTCCAGCGTCTCCAGGTAAACTGGATCGCGAAGCAGCTCTCTTGCTTCTCGGGTGCCAGTGGGGTGGGTGGGTGTGCGCTCTAGGGGGGTAAACCTCTTTAACAAATTTGCCTCCACATTGGGTGAAGTGGGTGTGCCCAATTTCTCTTCCCCAAGCGGGGGAGGGGGGGAAGAATCCCTTCTCTTAAGTTGTAGTGTTCCAAGAGTCTAGCTGCCGAGCGACTGCTGGAGAGAAGAGAAAGGCAAAGCTCATTTAAGGGGTCCTTCAGAGGGCTGGTGGGTGGCTCTGCCTTCCTTCCCTGCCTCCTGGAAACCTCCTTTGTTTGGGGGGCCGCCTCCTTCCCTTGCTTGGGTTCGCTGCCACAGACTAAGCCAGCTCTCCTCTTGCAGTTGAGCTGCAGTAACTGGCCTCTCTCTCGCACAGCGCTGAATAGAGCTCTGGAAGCTGTATGCCTTTCCCTCTCAAGGCACTTCTGCTACACACTGCCAGGACCTTCAGCCGACGGGAGAAATCTGGATTCCTGCGGACACAAACCACTCCAGCGCACCCGGGCCTTCTCGGTTGCCCAGATTGTGCTCTCCGCCCGTTCTTTGGCGTGCGGCAATATACTCCACCGCCTTTGGCTAGCCAGTGGTACCAGCCTCGTCCCTGTGCGTTGGCTCCACCCGCACCGTTGTATGCCAGCTGTTGGGCACCCCTGTGCACAGCCTCCGAGATGGCAGAGCAGCGGTACTGTGTGGATTACGCCAAACGAGGCACCGCTGGCTGCAAGAAGTGCAAAGAGAAGATCCTGAAAGGGATGGTGCGCATTGGGAAGGTGGTGCCCAATCCGTTCTCGGAGTCCGGCGGGGACATGAAGGAGTGGTACCACGTCAAGTGCATGTTTGAGAAGCTGGAGAGGGCTCGCGCCACCACCAAGAAGATCGAGGACGTCACTGAGTTAGAGGGCTGGGAGGAGCTGCAGGAGGCCGAGAAGGAGCTGATCAACCAGCACATCACAGGTGAGCAAAGAACGGGGAGTGGAGGGTTTTAGCCTGAACATTTGCCCGCTTTAAGAGTCCAGAGCTCCACACAACAACCAGGTGAGGTAGTCTTAAGAGCCACAAACCCTGATCTGGACCCTTGATTTGGTTTACAAACCATGGCTCACTTAAACTGTCATTCGTTGTGACCTCTACACCTCCAGCCGGTTCTTGTCCCTCATTCTTTTTCTCAGGTGCCCCTCCACAAAGAAGAGCAGGCAAAAGAGAGGGCAGGGACTCTAGTCAGGAATGGGAAAGACTAGCCATGGTTTGTCTTGTTAATTTTCATCTGAAACGACAAACCACCACTTTTGGTGACATGCAGACAAGTTCATAGGCTTTCCGACTTTGCTATCTTTGCACCGCAGAGTTGCAGCGGTTTTGAAGGTTTGGTATTTGGTGTGGTTTTTGGAGTTGTGTGATAGAGAGCCTTAATCCGCCCCCATCATCCACCCCAGAACTGCAGCCGGGAATTCTCAGTCCCACCCCAGACTACAGGATTCTATGGGAGAGATAAAGCTGTAACAGGAATAAAGTGGGATCAAACGGCTATAACCATGTCGTGCAGATAGATGCCCTGTTTCCAAAATTTCATTATTCTACCAGTACGGCCCCATTACAGGCTGCCTCTGCTAAATTTTTATGACTTGGCACGCTTCGGAATGGGTTTGAGCCCACTGAGGTTGAGAGCCTTGGTTGGCTGCTTCTAAAACATTTCTCACTATCATAAATAGAAGTCAGAGATTTTATGGATCCCTGTGTTTCTATGGCAGACTTGTCGAGGTGTAGAAGAAACTGCACGTTCGGAAGCCTTGTCAGGCCAGTGGTGTGACTCCGGTTTCCTTTCTCTCTCCACAGACCTTGGCTGCAAGCCCGCAAGCACGCCAAAGAAAAAGGCTGTCGTCCAGGCCAAGATTTCTCCCGGTGGACACATCACATCCCCCAAGAAAATGCCGGCAGCTTCTTCTGACCCATCACCAAAGAAATTTTCTGGTTTCACAGGTGAAATGGAACACGGCTTGCTTTTACTGGTCATGTATATGACTGGAAGTTCAGTTCACAGTTGTTAGGCTGGGGAGTGGGGAAATTCTGTAGCATTCTTCATATAGTTGATGGTTCAGGTCTATAGTTCCGTAATTCAGGACTGCAGTGGCATTGGTGTGTGTGTGTGTGTGTGCGTGTGTGTGTGTTGTAAATACTGCCTCCCTCTCTGCCTAGAATCTAAATAACATAAAGGTCATGTCTTCCATTCTCAAAGATAAAAGCAGGACAAGTGTTAGCATGGGAAGGGGGGGGTTAAAAGACACCCCCCCCCACTGATGCCTCACCAGAGTTCCGTGTCTGTTCTCAGCAAAGCCAGGCAGTTCCGAAGAAGGCTCCCCCAGCTCTTTGCACAAGCTGAGTCTGTCGGCCGAGAAGAGCGACCCCAAACACAAGGACTGTTCTCTGCGGGAGTTCAGGAAGCTTTGCGCCATGGTGGCCGAGAAGGCCAGTTACAACGTGAAAACCCAGATCATCCAGGACTTCCTGGAGAAAGGAACCAGTGGAGGTGCAGACTCTTTCTCTCTCTCTCTCTCTCTCTCTCAAATTCATCTTTAGCATTATTACTATTACTGTTATTATTTGGCTTTTATTAAACATGTTGCCCCGAGATTCCCGGGCCCACAGGTGGCTGTGCTGTCTGGGGATTCTGGATGTGCATAAGGTTCTCAAAGCAACTCATCAGTTGAATGAAAAATGGTAAATGGTTGGGGGCGTTTGTTCATCAAGAGAGTAATCTCAGTTATCAGTGTGTCGCTAGATGAGAAGCAGAGAGAATACTGTTAGCTGCCTTCTTCCTGACTTGGGCATCCTGTGTTTAGAAGCCTTCTGTGGATTCCAAAGGTGATTCAAGTCATCTTTTCTCGCTGGACTAATTTAGATCTGTTACTCATAGGTTATGTTTATATTGTACTCCTCTTGGCTGCCGCCGAGCTTAAAGCAGCACATGTGGCTCTCCCACCACCTTACTTTCACCTTCTCACCAACCTGATGAAGTCGGTTAGGCTGAAAGACAGGGACCAGCCCAGGGCAAGCTCACTGAGTTTCGTGCATCAGGATGGTCTGGAACCAGAGTCCCTCAAATCCCGGATCAACTCTCTAATTTGCAAGCATGCAAAATGTGGCCTATGGCAGGCCCTCACAGTTAATTTTTGGAGGTTGGGAGGGGCTCCCAGAGTCTCTTCGACCCCCCTGCTTTGAGATTCCCCCCTAGCAAAAAGCAAATGGGTGCCTGCAGGAGGCTGCAAGAGTGGGGATTCGCCTTTTCAGTTGGTCACCGGGACCCCTGCATAATTGAACCCTAAAAAATCCCATTTCTTTCCTCCACCCCATTGTCTGGCTTTCTATTTGTGGGCATGATATGGTGGTCCATGCGGTCTCCAGAAGTTCCTTGGCCTGCCAACATTTCCCATTCCTGCTCCAGGCCCCACAACACACTTTATCATCCATTAACAGACACTTCTGGAGTTTTAACTTAAAAAAAACCAAACCCACATCTAAGATGGGGGTTCCTTGGCAGATAGCATTAATCTACAGCCATGATTGTTCTGATCAGGGAACACAGGAACCAGCAGCCTGTGGCAGCAAGACCCAGCTTCTGTCTGCTCACAGGCCCCAAAGATTTGTTTTCTTGCTTCAGACGGCTTCCGTGGGGATCTCTACCTGACAGTGAAGCTGCTTTTGCCGGGGGTGATTAAGAGCGTCTACAATTTGAACGACAAGCAGATTGTGAAGCTCTTCAGCAGGATTTTCAACTGCAGCCCGGAAGAGATGGTCCGAGATCTGGAACAGGTGAGGGCGACGGAGCAGGGCTGGCCGGCCGAGAGCTTCTGTAGGTCGCCTTTTGGCTCCCTGTCCCATTTGGTTGGGGGTCGGCAAGTGGCAGCCCTGGGGGCTGCACGTGTCCCTCCCAGTGTGTCTTTTCATTTTGGCCACTTGCCTCTACATGGGGGCCGTCTGTTTGGGAAAGAAAAGTCGACGCCCAAGGGAGTTTCAGTTCCCCTTTAAAACCAGTCATAGCCCCCTATTGTGCACAGCTAACCCTGCAAAATTCAAAGGTTTCAAAACCTTTAACTATGGATTTCCAGCTTCAGTAGCAAGGGGTTGGGTGACTTTTGGGGTCCCTATTGTACGATTCCATGAGAATTTAGTTGAACATCTTCTTAGTGTGATGAGGTTCCTCAACCTGGCAGAACAGCTGTTGGAGAGGAGCAAGCCTGCGGAGCTGGTTTCCTGGGGAGAGACAGCAACCTAGCTTTTTCTCCCTCCCTCCCTTCTGTGAAGGAGTCCCACATACTTTACTGCAAGCAAAAAACTGCCCTTAAAAACACCAGACTGCCATCTGGGTTTGCCTGTTGGCTCAGGTGTGAATGGCCTGCTTGGATCAGGCCCTCATTCAAACTTCCTTCTCTTGCCCAGTCAATTAAAAAAAGGAGGATTTGTTCTCAATAACTGTCTCCTTCTGTTTTATTATTGTTGCTGCTGCTGTTGCTGTTCTTTTGTTGTTGTTCCTGTTCTTTGTTGTTATTGTTGTTATTATTATTCCAACAAGGGAGATGTTTCCGAGACGGTGCGGATCTTCTTTGAGCAAAGCAAATCCTGTCCCCCTGCAGCCAAGAGCCTCTTGACCCTCCAGGAGGTGGATGAGTTTCTGACGCAACTGGCCAAGCTTTCCAAAGAAGATGACCAGCAAAGTCTCCTGCAGGACATGGCTCGCAGGTGGGGGGGGGGGAGAGAGGCTGCGTGAAAGCCAAATTGGGGGGGGGGGTCACACCTAAGATTGGGTCCCTGTGGCCCTCTTGAGGACAGAACCATGAAAGCCACAGGCCCCCTGTCTCCAAGTCTCCAGAACAGCACGTACAGTACACCCTGAACAGGGTTGGGAACCAGGGATTTTTCCAGTTTGTTCTGTGGGGGTCTAGTCATGGACAGTCCCCCCAAAGTCCAGGAGGTGGCAAAAACAAGGCCTGCCTTATAGTGTTCTGTTCACACACGACGTAGAGATGTAAAATTTTGGAAATCTTGAAGCCATATAAAATGGCTTTGGGGGGAAAATTCTGTTTCCCCCCCAATTTTTCCAGTTTTTCCCCCCGGGCCTTCCCATTTCTACTCATGGT